TCCTCGAATCGTCAGCATAGTATAGCCAAAGAAGTATAAAAATAACGCCGATAACCCCAACGAGAAGCAACCGCCGGAGACAGCCCTTGAAAGCAGTACTTTTTAATTTATTGAGTTCATAGTTTTGTAGAGCTGACATTGCTTTATATTCCTTCCATACGAACCTTTATGGTATGTTGAGCCTTTCTGCTTGTGGATGGAATGAGAAGAATGAGAATTTGATCTACATCCAAACGTATTCAAGTAGAACGAAAAAAGGAGGGTTAAGGAGATCGATCAGAATAGAAAACATTCGCAGGCCAAGCTCTAAAAACAGTAATAATTTTCCATCCATCACCCACGGATCTCTATTTTTCAGACCATTTTTTTGTCTTCTACAAGAACTCATTGCCAGTTTCCACTGCACGTGACGCCACGCGGGCGGAATTTATTGACCGATAGAATCCAACGGCTTCCTTACTAAGTGAAAGGAAGGACAGAAGGACACACCGCACAGGTCAGTGAAGGACAAAGATGTTCCTCGCCCTTGGTTAGAGCACCGCCAAGAGAGAAACCTCGGTTTTTAGGTGGTTTAGAATGTCATGAAAAGTTGCAAAGATGCTCAAGGTGTGTGCCTATCTGATTGAGCACGTCGCGATCTTTTCGTCTTTGAGACACCTCGCTTGTGCAATTCTCACCTATAGGGGAACCCTGGAGGACGCTACTGATTCACACAACGAATAGGATCCAGATTTAGCTTGATTTTCCCGTACAAACGAAGAAATGAGGGATAATCGCATTAGATATTACTTGAGATGACCAGTTTGCGCCTAATCGTTAAACCTCGCTTGGTGATATACCCACCGATATTAACCGTGTGTGTGTGTGTGTGTGTGTGTGTGTGCGATGGAATACTTTGGGTTGGGGTAATTCTTACGGGTACATTTATTGTTCACGGGAAGGGGAAATGGAGGCAGATTCGTTGATCCATTAATGGTGGAAAGGACACAATTTTTTTTGCTCACTATATGCTGTTTCTACCTTTGCAACACACCTTGACTATAAGCAAGCCCCTCTTGCCCCCACCCTTGCTCCTTCACTCAGTGATGCCTTTTCACGCATGTCATGGTATGAATGATTCACATACCGCTACGAGATTGCTCTAATCCCCGTTGACTAAGAAATATCTTGAATTTCAGTGTGGAGAAACATCTTATTTCATGCACGCAGATAACCCTCCATCCAAATGATTCTCTGCGTTAAGCATGGCCCCGAACACGATATCACCTGTTTTCGCGGGGTCTAATTCCACAAAGCTCGGTGGACTGGGGGGTTTCTACACGTATTGTAAGGAGAAGCGACAATACTAGAAAGAGCCGTACAGGGTACCTTGGGACGCAGTAAAAATTTGACTAGCTTACTATGCTGCTTGCCAAGGTAGAAAAAGATAATATAGAAACAATGTCACTTACGAGAGGCCCTCCTATCCTTTGATTGCATCTATAAGCTTTAGGGTTCACAATTTTTTGAGCTGCTCTCCAGGCCGTGACACCTTTTACAAAGAGCGACTGCGTCTTATTTTAAAACTGGAGAATTTTTATAGATACGGCATTAATTGATCCCCTACCCTATGATAATGAAAACCACATTAGCAATATAAGCACTAAATTAAAGTTTAATAAATAATTACTCCATTCTCCTCAAATATACATAAAATCAGCAAAACGAGAAAAATAATGTAAAACAGCAATGATGAATTTCATTCCAAAAATAAAAAAAGAATCTCGTTTAAACTTACCTAATTGTCTTAGTCCTGTGAAATTTACCCATTGTATCAACAAAAAATACCAACTTTACATTTTAAAATGTCTTCAGCTCTCAATTTGTATTATAGATAAATAGAAGTAAAGAAGTGATTGCCTCACTAAAAGTGTAGTGATCATATGTAGATAATGTACACTCCTGTGGGACAGAATTTTTAAAAAAGTGTTTATCTCTTCTCTGTGATAGTCCACAGCTTCAATGTGTTGTCCAGAGAGGCAGTAAGCATTTTATTACCCTTGATATCAATGTGATATACTGTATTAAGGTGCCCCGTAACTGTTGCAACATGCTCACCATTATCGACACGCCACGCCTTGATCACACAGTCCCGCGCACATGAAAATATGTATTTGTCATCTTCAGAAAAGATAGCATGATGAATCGGAGCCTTGTGAGCGGCCAAGGTACGAATGCAGGCTCCAGTATTAGCAACCCACAGTTTCAGCTCGTGATCCATGGAAGTACTGATAATGTAGGCATCATTATTGGAAAACTTCACGGACCAAACCGTTCCGACATGCCCAACTAGGGTTCGCACCTCTTTGCGTTCCTCCCAATCCCAAATTTTTACAAGGTGATCATCGCTACCCGAAACGACGTACTTGCCGGTGCCGGTATTGCTGAATCCGCATGAAAACACCGCTAATGTGTGTCCCTTCAATGTGGCCACTTTCGAACAAGAGTCTACACGCCAAACACGAACGGTGTTATCACAACTGCCAGAAACCACGTATTCACCTGTGGGGTTGAACTGGACGCAGTACACTTTGTCCTCATGTCCTTTTAGGGTGCTCGTCTTAGAATTTGTTTTCGTACTCCACAGCTTGATGGTGCGATCGTCTGCAGAGGAGACCACAAGGTTGCCCTTTGGAGAAAAATTGCACGAAAGGACGTAGCCGTTGTGGCCGCCTTTCATCACGGCATTTTTCCCATCTATTGTGTTCCACACCCTAACAGAGCGGTCTCGGCTGCACGTCACAAACCTCTCGCCGTCTGAAGAAAAGCTGCAGCAGTACACTGCGAGAGTGTGCCCTGTGAATGTGCTGACATTTTGGATGCAGAGTTCACCGTTAGAGAACTCCGGCTCTGTGTTTAATGAGAACGTCGTGGTCGACGATAGTGGCATTTGTTTGCAGTGTATTTCGCTGCCCACGCGCTGAATGTACTTGGAAACGATGAGGTTAAGCTTCTTTCCGTCAGCCTGCATTTCCAAAAACATGGACAACACGTCGTCATCGTCAAGAATGATCATATCTTCGCCTTCCATAAACGAAAGAGACACTTTATAGCCAAATTTTTTTTCGATAATACCGTTAAATTCAGAAAAGGTAATATCAGGAGTAATATGGACAAGTTTCTTTGTAGAAGTATCATTTTCCTGGCAGTACACTGGAATTTTCCCTGCTATTCGTGATGTTACATGATGGTCACCGTCGGCGTTCTCACCCCCGAGATGCGGATTATTGGAAATAAGAGCCGCAACGTCGCTCGGTGGTTCCTGAAGTACCTGTTTGATGAAGTTGTTAAGATCCTCCTTTTCCTTTGATGACATACCAACCAATTCATCGATTGCACCGTATCCGCTGGAAACATTTTCGTCAGAGGTAGGAAGTGGCAACTCAGATTCCTTGACAATGCCGTTCTGCGTCTGACGAGATTGGATGCGCTCCGTTACCATACCCCAAATCTGCTCGTCGGTGTAATCCCCATCATCTTTTATATTTTGGCGAAACGCCTCGACCGCGGCGTCTGGTGTGATGTCCTCTTGCTTCGCGAGAAGCTGGATGAGGGCGTTTTGCTTGCCACTAGGCAAGCCCTCGTAGGAAAAGGCCTTTCCTTTATAGTTGAATGTGATCTTCTGAGGCTTCTCACTCTCATCTGTGGCAGGGCTGCTTTTGCTCAGACCAACTTTATCTGCAGGTTTCCCTTTTTTTTTTAGACGCAACTGAACAGCGTTTTTGAAAAGGTCCTTGATCTGCTCGTTGGTGTACTTTCCTTCATCCTTAATATTCTCACGGAAAGTTGGTATTACGATTTCCTCACTGACTCCCATCTTCGCCAGAATATCCATTAGATCCTTGACGCGAGTCTCAGGCTTACCTTCGTAAACAACATTTTTCCCCGATATTTTGAATTTAAGTTTTTCCTTCGACATTTTTTAAGCGTTAAAGCAAACGTTGCAGGAATCGAATGATGTGGAAATGTATTACTTTTTTGAGTAGATAAATATATATATATAAATAAATATATATATATATATATATATATATATATTATTATATATATATTAT